TACCAAATAATCGTATATGCTCACCATATGCTACGCAGTTATTAGATGTAAGCTTTCGAAAAGTCAATGCTTCGTACAAAGGTTTGGCAAATAATGCATTATTATTTGACAAGAAAAGTTCTGCACCCTTTTCTTTAAGAGATTGAAGTCTTAAATAAATTTACAAATTTGCAGGGGTACTGCTTGAGAACTCCGAAACATCTTGGCTAATGTACCATTATAATGTTCATATGGAAAACAAGATACAGCCCACAGAGCTCCAAACTGTTTTACACTTTAGGAATGTGGAGAAGTAAATGAATATTAAATTTCATAAGTTGAGGTGCATTGTATACGTCTTCTATATTTAAAACAAACTGTCGTATACACCTTTCTGCAATAGAGAAATCCTCTAATGAAATTTTTTCACGTAGAAAAATATGTACACTACATACAAGAAGAAACCAATGCTCGATATATTTTCTTGGCATTTCTACTTTATGTAAACACGGCAAAGAGTAATATAATAAAAAGTTTTTCCATTCAGAAGCTTTCCATAGTTTACATTCTGTAATGGACCGAGGAGTTTTAGTAATTTCACTTGGTGGCTTAATAGAACAAAGGATGGCATCAATTTGTTTTAGCTTAATGTCTGATCCGATATAGAAAGGTTCCTTCTTATTTTCTCCATTTTTCCACCACTCCACCATAGTTTTTACAACACCAAGTAAAATACAATGCATGTAATCAGGCACAAAAGATGTTATTATATTAAATAAGGGAAGCAGAAGAAGGACAGATGCATCCTTTATTCCATTTTTAACCTTTCCAGTTTGCATGACAGTTTTGGTATCTTGCACATGTTGTTCGTGAGTTCGTAATTGTCCTATATCACCACGATAAATCCTTGCTCTTCCACGACCAACTTCACACTCCTCTCCTTCATTCAGACAAAAAGAACAGCCTTGTTTACCTCGAAATGTTTTTAATTTCTGAAGCAATGGTCTTGCTTGAGAATCAACTGAGGCTATGAGAGTGTGAACTTTTACTTTAGCTTTGTCTTCAGAGCCTGGAACGACATACTCTAATCCTTCATTATGTAGCATACTTAGTTCCTCAACAAATGGTTTCAAGAATATATTCATGTCAGGTTTAGATCCATACCATAATCCGCAGAGTAAAACATTTTCTTTACGAGCTTGAAAAGGCAAATTATTTACAGCTACCTGGATAGGCCATAAACTTACTTTAGATGATTTAAAAATTTGTACTCCATCAGTATTCCACTGTAATGTGAGATCTTTTTCTGAAATAATACCATCTTGTATTAATCTTTTATATACTTCGCCACTGTGAACATCGCTTTGACCACTTATAAATCCTTCTTGAAACATGGAATGTATACGATCATTTTGAAGTAGCCGAATCAATTGATCTTGTAATGGAATTTGAATATAAAAAGCATTGCTGCGACTTTAAATCATCCATTACACATATCAGTCCACAACTGCAAATTACTTTATTTGTTTCCAAGAAATTAACTAAACTCTTGCAACCAGAGCAAAAGAAATGTGTTATTATATTAGGTGGCTTAGGAAATTTTTGAATGAGTAAATGTAATGATTTATGTTCCTGTCTTGGAAGATGACAATCTATGAGATTTATAAGAGATTGAAGGGCAATATCAGACAGTCCAAAACGCATAGCATAGGTCATAATTAATAATTCACTTTCCTCTCTTGTAATGTCACAACCCTCATATAAGGGTTTCCTATCTGAATTGATATGTTCAAAAATTTCTGTTTGAAATATGTCTTCATCATCTACAAAGTCTTCGAAGACAGTGCCATCATTATCAGAAATGCTACTATCTTCTGAATCAGTGTCAATGTAATCACTATTATGTAGGCTTATTCCTTCCTTACTGTCATCATCACTTTCTTGCATTGTGAAATACAATCTTTCTTCACTTTGTTCAAGGCTCTGCTGTTCGAATTCATCTTCATTGTTAAAAGAGCATTCTGAATTCTCCCTACTGTCAAAATATCTTTCACTAGGATCCCAGTCCATAAGTTCATCAATGTTATCCGATAGTGCATGCTGAAAATAAGTTTTTTTAAATATAATTATTTAAAATTTCTTTTCAATTTCTACAACTGATAATATAACATCATTATACAATTTTATTTTAAATTGTTAAATTAAAAAAAAGTTTATTGAAGAATGTTTTTCGTTTATTCTGTATTACATTAATTTGTAGTTATACAAATTTAATCAATGCTGATACCTATTTTATATCCTAATCCTACAAAATCACCTATTTTATTATAATAAATGATATTAATATAAGACTCATAAATGATAATAGTATAAAACTAATATATAATTGATATAAATAATTGATAAATAGAAATATTTTATTTTAAATTGTTAATATTTCAAAATTGTAAAAGTAAATTTAAGCTAGTTTTATTTCGACGTCCTTATTTTTTCATTATATTTATGACTTATTAATATATCGTTAAAATATTTTATTCTTTTTCTCGATAAATTTTAATAAAATAACTATTGATTCTTATGTTTTCAATTACTTTAACTGATGAATTCAATATTTTTAAAAATGATATGATTGAGAAAATCTATCCATTATATATTTTAGGCGACCAGTTTCTAAATGATATAAAACCAATTATAATAAAATAAAAAGAAATAAAAATATCAAATAATAACCACATCAATCATTCATCAACGCATTGATAAAGAATTTAGTAGTCAATTTTAACTTAAGAAAATTTATAATGTTTATTAACCTCATTACGTTGAATAACTTGTCGACGACGAAGAGTTGTGTCGGGGATAGGAATATTTAAATCTTGAAGGTATTGTTTGTATGGACCTCGGCGTGACATTTCTTTAATATAAAAGCAACTATTAATTAAATTTTTGAATTACGTTGAAATTGACTCGTTCAGGCTCGTATAGCTTGCTAATGCTAACAAGTGGCGTCAGAGCATTGGCCCATAGGGCCCGAGTGTGCCGTTTATTTTACGTATACGGTACTGCATAGCGCGCCACGCTTTCTTCAGTATCCATGCGCGGACATGAATTTTCTTGTAAGTGAAAAAACAATTGCCGCCACAGGATTATCATCTGCGTGACCGCGTGTGATGCGTTATACTGGTATCGCGATATTGCGATATTTCTATTGTCAAGCCACGCTGTTTTACAATATCTGCATCAATTGTGGTATTTTTACCGGTTGATATATACGCATCGTGGAAATTTGAAGAGTGAATAAGTGCAGTAATCATGTCTAATATAAAAGTGCTGTGGAAACAAAATTGTCAGATGAGAAGTGTCTCGTCGTGCAGTTTATTAATGAGAGACATAAACCTGTTCAAGTGGGCTTTCAAGCGTGGTTAAAAAAGGAAAATACAGAATCAGATTTGAGTCACCTCCTAAACTCGGAGGTGATCATTCGATGGCCCGTAGCAGAGGACATAAAATGTGCCAAATGATGGAAAAAATGATTAAGAAGAAAAATATTACTTGGGAGGACTTGGTTGTAAGAGTGCGATCTTGGGAAGTAAGTAATGATTTTAACATAATTTAACATAGAAGCTTAGAACATGTATATACTGGAAGGGGCATAGCGCATGTGTGCATGTGTGATGAGCTAGAATATATGTAAATATATGAGTATATTATCCTCTTGTGTAAATGCATTTATTTCGTACTAACAATAAAAATAGGTGTTGAGGACTTTTGCTACGTACACCAGATAGGTTATGCTCTTCCAGTTTATATGTTCTAAGCATAGAAGAGAGTTGCTAAATGTATACCGATTGCCTAAATAGTATATCTCGTCAATATTTTATAATTTTACTAATATGACATTACATTTAATGACAAAAATATGAAATAAATGAGAAATGAGTAATACATATATACACAAGAATTTAACAGGTTATCTTGTCTTGTGCAAACATCTTGAAATATGAAATACAATTAATTGTTAATTCTTCAAAATTTTTGTCGTTGATAATTATATATATTAATGTATTTATGAAATTTGTACTGAATTTTAAGATTTTCATAAAAGAAGATTTATTGATTAAAAGTTTATTACATAAAACAAGGTTTATATATTATAGAATATTTTCATGTCATTGTGTGTACATGTATATGTGTAAGTGGGGAAGGGAGGGAGATCTTTTAACCACGCTGTGATCGGTGGCTGTGATCAATCGCAACGTAGTCAAACGGGATGTGTGTACTCCCGTATGTATATATGTGTGTATATATGCAATTATTTCAAATGTTAGATAATACACGTTTTTCTAAAATTTATCGTCTTCAAAATTATACTATCATAAATTTATTGTAAAAAGTATATGATATTAAAGTAAGTTAACTGAGTTTAAGCTACGTTAATGCAAACGCGGACTTCAGACTAATACGTAATAAATAATAATAAATAACGTTCTCAACTTTGCTTTAAGTTTTGTTTGACAAAACCGCCGACAACTCTCCCTAAATTTTATAAATATATATTTAAGCATAAAATAAATTTCAAAATTTTTAGTATTTACTGATATGTGCCAACACGTCAAAAATATTGAACTTTTGGCGTGCCTAATCCTTCTCGAGAAGAGAGACGGAAACTTTGCCATAAGCCATCAGGCTCATCTAATCAAAGCCACACGCTTGATTTTAACTCATCAGAAGATGACAGTGTCAGTATCTGCAATTAGTATGTCTAATAATAATTATAATCTCTTTTTAATTATTTATGTTTGAAACTGTACAGCTTGTTGTGTTATCGTAATAGTAATGCTGCTTTCTTTTTTATTTGATTTAAGTATAAGATTTGTTAATTTGTAAGTTTAACATGAAATTTATTCTCTGTTTAATTTTTTAACAGGAGCCTAATAAATCATTAAAAAAGCGGAAGAAGACTGAAACATCAAGTATTGGAAAAAGTCATAGTTACAGTCGCCAATAGAAAACTTATCAAGAGATTTTATAAAAAATCATCTCGGGTAAATTTAATATTGTCTTGTATGTTTGAAAAAAAAATATTTTATCTTTTGCCTATGCAAAGCTTTTAATATTTAAAATTAGATGTGCATTAAAATCATATATGCATTCTTACTTTATTCTTGCTTTTTTTCAAGAAAAGTGAAATAAATTTCATATGTCTCTTACTTTAGGATTTGTATTTATTTCCAGATTGATTTAATAAATAATGAAGAGGAGAAGGAGAATGACGAAGACGGTTCTATGTTTAAATGGAGTAAAACCAAACTAATCGATTTAATAAATACTTTACAAATAGAAAACAAAAAGCTAAGGGAAGATAATGCCAGATTACGAGCATTAAGAGCTATTAACGAAGGTAAGATGTGCCTAGTGAGATGTAAATATCTGCTGTAGCTGTTGATCTTACTTTCCATTCTTTTGGTATCTGATTCTAGATTTACATAAAATGACTGCCATGTCATCTACTTTATTTAAAGACATGGATAAATTACGCAGGAACATTGATTCTCTACGTATTAAAGCTGATCAAAGCAGTAACAAACAAGAATAGTGATAACATTAATAATAATAATAATAATATTAAACTAAGTTATTTAAATAAAGATGAACAGAAGGAAAATAATATTAGTCACAATGCTGGAAGTACTTCGGAGATTGTTGAAACACAAAGTGAGGTAACGTAAATCTTTTCATACAATGATAAACTTTATTTGCTTTTTCTTTTGTATTTATGTACATATGTGCATGTATGTATATGTGTATGTTAAATATAAAGTAATATTAAATATAAATTTATTATGTAATTCCTGACATAGATGATTAAACTTTAGCAAGATTATAATCTGGCTAGTAAGTACAACAAAATCTTTATAAAGTGTTAATAATTTAATATATTTAAAACTTTTTAAGGAATAATGAAAGAAACACACTAATTTTCATTTTAAAAAGTTTACAGTAAAGCTAGAATAATTTAAATAAGGAATGAGTTACCAGGATTTTGTTTTTGCCACTGAGAATGCTAAATAAATTTAATACAATATAAGGCAATAATGAACCGATAAATTTTATTTTTGTTACATTCTTTAATATTGGACCGATAAACACAATCGAGTAAAATTTTCCTAATGCTTGCTATATAGTAATAAAGTTTTTTATCATTATTGATAGATTCTATTATTAACACCATATTGGATACTTTTATTTTATTAAGCACAAAATATACCGAAATAGTCTTCATTTTTCTTGTATGTTAGCTGTTATTGTCTTATTATACATATACCTATATTCCTACTACTATATCTTTGTGGTAATATAACTTGACTGCAAACTCAGAAACAGAAAAAAGCTTGATATACCACATAGGATTTTTTTGAAGAACTTGAAGAGTAAACAATATATCAACATAACTGAGATTATTGAGATATTTTCCATGATTTTAGACAAATTCCATGGTCTTAGATAAATGATTATAAAAAGCTTGACCAATTATTGTACTTTATTTTCCAGAATTCACAGCAGCAGATATTATTAAGTATTGCTCATATAGAGCAACCAGAGAAGTTTCAGGCTAAACCATCAATTACTATAGTAAGTAGCAATATTTATTTCGTGACACATGATAATTTTATCATGAAATTTGAATAGATCTTTTTTAATATGTACATATATATCAAAGACATTAGATATAGATAAAATGTTATTTTACGTCTATTTTATGTCTTTAAATATGTATATACATTTAGTAAAATATATATATCTTTTAATATATTTTCTTTATTTCTATTTTATAGGAAGATCTCACAGATTTTGCGGGAAGACAAGTACAGACCGAACAATTAAAAAGACTCAGTCGCAGCAAACTATCTTTATTCACAGCTTCTGTGATGGATCTAGTTTTCACAGATGAGGAAATGGCCAATTATAGTATGACTGGAATAATGAGCAATTTCTCTCGAGGAAAAACTAAACTCCATGCAGAAGATGTGAAGGCCAAGCCAGAGCTGAATCCTCCTGTGAAAAACGCAGTGATGGGTAAGATATTGCTATATACTAATTGTTACAAGTAAAAATTTTAATATTCTCTTATTCTCAAAAAGCACTTTTTGTTTAGTAAAAATTATTTTAATTTCCACAGAATACATTCTAAAGGAATTTGATTGTCCTACAGAAGGGCCATTAAACAAGGCTGCAATAGCAGAAATTTTTAAAGCAATGAAAAGTAAATTAAATAATAAATCAAATATATGGCGTAACAAAAATAAACAAATATCAATGGGACCTGCAGTTATTCAATAACAGCAAGATAAAAAAATGGAAGATTCTGCATAAGAGCGTGACCTACAAATAGTAAAAATATATCAATATATTCTTATATTTTCTTTATTTTATATTTTCTAATTTTAATTGTCTTAATAAACGAGATTTGGATTATTTATACTTATAACGTTCTGAAATGTAATATTTAACTTTCAATTTTATTTTTTCTATTTTTAATTGTCTTATTTGGATATATTTTTGTAACGTTCTGAAATATAACATTTTACTTTCAATTTTACATTCTTTATATCAATTTTAATTGTCTTGGATTTGGATTAATTATACTTGTACGGTTTCGAAATGTAACATTTTGCTTTCAAATATGTAATTCATTTATATATTATATAATAAAATATAGTAATAAATTGAAACAATGTGTTTTATGTATTAAATAATATTAATAAATTACTATAAATACTAGCAGTATTATTTCTGGGGAGCACTGCCAGTACTTTAGAAATATAGAGTATTAATGAAATATTGGCCAGTAATTCGATATTACTCTACACTTCTCAAGTACTGGCAATACTTCGCCAAAATAATACTGCCAGTATTTGTAGTAATTTATTACTGATCCCGGTAATCCAGTAGTACTCAGTATTTCTGAAATACTGGTAGTACTCCGCCAAAATAATACTGCCAGTATTCGCAATAATTATTACTGAATACTTTTTAGTACTTTCAGTAATACTTTTCTATAAGGGACGCTCTCTCCTTTCTCTCTTTCCTCCCTCTTTTTTTAAGACACACGCTCTCTCTCTCTCTCTCTTCTCTCTCTCTTTCTCTCTTTCTTTAAGACACACGATCTCTCTCCCTCTCTCTCTCTCTCTCTAAGACACACGCTCTTTCTCTCTTTCTCTCTCTCTCTCCCCTCTTTCTCTCTTTCTTTAAGACACATGCTCTCTTTCTCTCTTTCCCTTTCTCCCTCTCTCTTTCTCTCTTTCTTCTTACTCTCCCTTTCTCTCTCTCTCTATCTCTCTCTCTAAAATTAAAATCTACTTACATTATGCTGATTTGAACTGCATGCATTTTCGCTGCTCTCTTTAGACATGTTGGTTAAGCCGTATTATGTGTCACATTGATTTAAAAAAAGTTGAAGGAAATGTATATATAAAATAAGAATATTGAATTTAAATGTTACTATGGTCAAGGCATATAAATTAAAGGTTTATTTACACGAATTGCACACATAATCACAAACACGTACACAAATTTTTTAAAATTACTTCTTGGTGTGACCAAGTCAATAAATGCGTATGCACATGGGTGCATGGGTGGATAAATAGGATGATAAAATTTGTTAAAATCATAGTAGCCATCCCCGACAAAGTTTGAGTACAAATTTCGAAAAATCTGTGAATAAATGTGTGAATGCGTGGGTGGAGATATAACACTTAAAAAAACCACATCGTCACCATCTCCACAAAATTTGCAACATTTTGGTACCAATTTAAAAAAAATCGGTTCATAAATATGCGATTGCGTAAGTGGGTGCGTGGGTGAAGGCGTAAACTTAAAAAATAAAACAGCAGTTTTCTCGGAAAAATTTGCAACATTTTGGTATCAATTTGTAAAATTTGGTCCATAAATGCGCATGCATTTGTGTGAATGCGTGGGCGGGTGCGTGGGTTGAGATGTAACACTTGAAAAAACCGCATCGTCGCCATCTCCAAAAAATTTGCAACATTTTGGTACCAATTTAAAAAAAATCGGTTCATAAATATACATTTGCGTGGGTGGGTGTGTGGGTGAAGGCGTAAACTTAAACAAATAAAACAGCAGTTTTCTCAGAAAAATTTGCAACATTTTGGTACTAATTTCGTGAAAATTGGTCCATAAATGCGCATGCGTGTGGGTGAATGCGTGGGTGGGTGCGTGGGTGGGGGTGTAACACTTGAAAAAACCGCATCGTCGCTATCTCCAAACAATTTGCAACATTTTGATACCATGTGTTCAGAAATATTGCAAAAAAAGAAACATACCCTCCTCTGAGGAAAAAAAAAAATTAAAAAAAAAACCCCACAGCAGCCACCCCCGAAAAATTTGCAACATTTTGGTACCAGTTTCACGAAATTGGTCCACAAATGCGGAAGTAGTTCGCGTACATACATACAGACAGACGGTGCTTATATATAAAGATTAGCTTTTCGGACCGCGCGAAGCGCGGTCCTCAAAGCCAGCCTTTCTATTCGGACCGCGCTTTGCGCGGTCCTCATATAGTCTATATTAAATCCGTTTTAACACAAAAAATTAATTCTTTTTTTGTATTACCGCGAACTACTTCCACATTTGTTGTTCGACTTTCACGAAATTTATACCAAAATAAATGTTTAAATTTTTTTGTGGATGACTACTATGTTATCTATTTCTTTCTCCCAGATATTTTATTTTCTTTTTTTAAGACACGCTTTCTCTCTCTCTCACTCTAAAACACACGCGCTCCCTCTCTCTCTCTTTAAGACACATGCTCTCTCTCTCCTTATCTCTCTCCCTCCCTCTTTCTTTAAGACACACGCTCTCTCTCTCTCTCTCTCTCTCTCTCTCTGTGTATGTGTGTGGGGTTTTTTAAGTTTACGCTTTCACCTACGCATCCACCCACACAATCGCATATTTATGAACGGATTTTTTAAAAAATTGGTACCAAAATGTTGCAAATTTTTGGCGACGATGTGGTTTTTTCAAGTGTTACACCTCCACCCACACGCATGCGCATTTATGGACCAATTTTCACGAAATTAGTACCAAAATGTTGCAAATTTTTCTGAGAAAGCTGCTGTGTGGTTTTTTTAAGTTTTATCCCACCCACGCATGCATCCACGCATTCACACATTTATTCACATACTTTTTTGAAATTTGTAGTTAAATTTTGTTGGAGATGGCTACTATGATTTTAACAAATTTTTATCATCCTATTATCACCCACGCACCCATGCACCCATTTGCATACGCATTTATTGACTTGGTCACACCAAGAAGTAATTTTTAAAAAATTTGTGTACGTATTTGTGATTATGTGTGCAATTCGTGTAAATAAACCTTTAATTTGTATGCAATTTTCACGAAATTAGTACCAAAATGTTGCAAATTTTTGCAATCACAAACATGTACACAAATTTATTTAAAATTACTTATTGGTGTGACCAAGTCAATAAATGCGTATGCACATGGGTGCATGGGTGCGTGGGTGGATGAATAGGATGATAAAAATTTGTTAAAATCATAGTAGCCATCCCCAACAAAATTTGAGTACAAATTTCGAAAAAGTCTGTGAATAAATGTGTGAATGCGTGGGTGAATGCGTGGGTGGGATAAAACTTTAAAAAACCACACAGCAGCTTTCTCAAAAAAATTTGCAACATTTTTGTACCAATTTCGTAAAAATATTGGTCCATAAATGCGCACGCGCGTGGATGAATGCGTGGGTGGAGGTGTAACAATTGAAAAAACCACATCGTCGCCATCTTCAAAAAATTTGCAACATTTTGGTACCAATTTTTAAAAAATCGGTTTATAAATATACGATTGCGTGGGTGGGTGCGTGGGTGGAGGCGTAAACTTAAAAAAATAAAACACCAGCTTTGTCAGAAAAATTTGCAACATTTTGGTACTAATTTCGTGAAAATTGGTCATAAATGCGCATGCGCGTGGGTGGGTGCGTGGGTGGAGGTGTAACACTTGAAAAAACCGCATCGTCGCCATCTCCAAAAAATTTGCAACATTTTTGTACCAATTTCGTAAAAATATTGGTCCATAAATGCGCACGCGCGTGGATGATTGCGTGGGTGGAGGCGTAAACTTAAAAAAATAAAACACCAGTTTCCTCAGAAAAATTTGCAACATTTTGGTACTAATTTCGTGAAAATTGGTCCATAAATGCGCATGCGTGTGGGTGGATGCGTGGGTGGAGGTGTTACACTTAAAAAAACCGCATCGTCGCTATCTCCAAAAATTTTGCAACATTTTGATACCATGTGTTCAGAAATATTGCAAAAAAAAATTTTTTTCGCAAAAACATACCCTCCTCTGAAGAAAAAAATAAAAAAAAAAAAATTAAAAAAAAAAACCCACAGCAGCCACCCCCGAAAAATTTGCAACATTTTGGTACCAATTTCGAGACAATCGGTCCACAAATGCGGAAGTAGTTCGGGCACAGACAGACAGACAGACAGACGGACGGTGCTTATATATATAGATTAAATTAATCCCTCTCTCTCTTTCTCTCTCTCTCTCTCTCTCTCTCTCTCTCCCTCTCCCTCCTCAATATTATATATAATAATATAATATTATAAATAAATATTATGTAATATAATCATTTTTTGCAGTAAAACAGAAAGCTCGATGGGCAAGAGCCGGAAGAGGTACCAATTTAAAAAAAATCGGTTCATAAATATACGATTGCGTGGGTGGGTGCGTGGGTGGAGGGGTAAACTTAAAAAAATAAACCAGTAGTTTTCTCAAAAAAATTTGCAACATTTTGGTACTAATTTCGTGAAAATTGGTCCATAAATGCGCATGCGCGTGGGTGGATGCGTGGGTGGGTGCGTGGGTGGGGGTGTAACACTTAAAAAAACCGCATCGTCGTTATCTCCAAAAAAATTTGCAACATTTTGATACCATGTGTTCAGAAATATTGCAAAAAAAGATTAAACATACCCTCCTCTGTAGAAAAAAAAAAAAAATAAAAAATTAAAAAAAAAACCCACAGCAGCCACCCCAAAAAATTTGCAACATTTTGGTACCAGTTTCACGAAAATCGGTCCACAAATGCGGAAGTAGTTCGCGTACATACATACAGACAGACGGTGCTTATATATATAGATATATAGATATATTATATATTTTAGGAAATATTATACAAAGAATAACATCAATATATATTATAATTCATCAATATTTATTATATGTATATTATATATATCAATATATATTATAACTCAATCAACAATTTAATTGCAATGTACGTGCAAATGCAACATGCCTTATACGTAGAACATTATATTGATGTTATATATATATATATATATATATATGTATATATTACTTTTACGAAAACTTTGTTTCGTTGCAAATGTACGCAGTAACATCCGCGTATGGCTCTTTACGCCTTTCTTGCGATTTAAATTTATATTTAATATAATACAAAGCCGTAATTTAATCTTAGTTGTTTATAGACGCCGGCGAATAGGCGTTATTTAGAGTATATATAAGCAGAGAAGAGTATAGAATCAAAGAGTCTAAATAGCTCAGTTGGAAGAGCAGTCGCCCGGCAAGCGAAAGGTCTCGTGTTCGATTCCCGATTCAGCGACTTTCGGATCTATATTTTTCTCTCGCATTTATTTATTTATTTCCGTAGGGAGGTTAGGGGGTTTTTGAAATTAAATCTCAAGTATGAGATTATTTCAAATTTTAAGTCTTGGTAGTACACCGAGAATGATACGTGCCTTGTGCACGGTTTATTTCCAACGAAAACTTAGTTTCGTTGGAAATGTACGCAGCAACATCCGCGTATGGCTCTTTACGCCTTTCTTGCGATTTAGATTTATATTTAATATATTATTTTTATTTTAGGTTTGCTGGGATATACATATATATTGTTACGTCCGTGTTATACTACGATTCCTGAATTTGTCTACGAACATCGAGTCATCGAGTCTTCTATGAGATCTACGAACATCGCGTTGTCAAGGCGTCATCAAGGGTTGTTGATCAACAACTGTCGTCTTCTGAGTTCGAATTCCAACTGTCACGAGCGGACGTATTCGGCTTTCGTTCGATAATTTCCCATTTTCCCTTTATTGTATTTCTTCTATTCAATACCTTTTAATAAAGGTCTTTCGTTTCCCCAAATACGAGTACAATTTCTTTCACGGTTCGCGAGTGAACGACGTCGCGTGTCACGGTTGATAGCAATATATCGCGAAATCGGATCCGCGGACGTAACATTTTGGGGGCTCGTCCGGGATCGTACGGGCGACGAGCTGTAGTAAACGGACTTTTCGTGTGTGTATGAGTGAGACAACGAGTCGTTCACTCGCGAACCGTGAAAGAAATTGTACTCGTATTTGGGGAAACGAAAGACCTTTATTAAAAGGTATTGAATAGAAGAAATACAATAAAGGGAAAATGGGAAATTATCGAACGAAAGCCGAATACGTCCGCTCGTAACAGTTGGAATTTGAACTCAGAAGACGACAGTTGTTGATCATGTTCTTGGTTTATTCTCCGAGGGTAACCCGATCTCAGGCTCCGCTTCGAGCAACGACCAGCGCGACCAACGAAAAAACTCCAGAGCGAGCTCCAGAGCAAGCGGATGCATTGCAAGCGGCGTTGGAGGAAATCAGGCAGCTGCGAGAGGAGCGTCTCCAGCAGCAGGCCCGTTTTGAGATAATGCTGCAACAACGGAATGAGGAACTGCGTCGCTTGGAGGAGAGATTCTTCGTGCGAGAGCGAGATCAAGGAGAAAATTGAGCAGAAAATCAGCTAATGACGAATTCAATTGATGTGCACTCGCTCCGTTTCAGTGGCTAGTAACTTTTTGTTACTAGACGCACATGTTTGGAGCGCGTAGTTTTATACTGACCCGAGTGCGGTTACTTGCACTGACCTGGGTGCGGTTATAAACACTGATCCAACATAGTGCATTTAGTAACTTCGGTGCCAGTGCCGTGCAATATGCGACTTGTATTTGACAAGAGAGCAGAGAGAAACCTATAACCTATAACCTAAAGTAAAACATTAATATATTTAAACGAGTTTTTGCTTTTTGCGCATTCTGTTTGTTCTCTGTTTCAATGTAAGTTCTGTTTTTTTACAGTTTTGATTACATCAAGTTCCCAAATATTAAAGAAAAAAGCACGAGCTTGAACCATCCAAAAGAAGGAAAGTAAAACATTACAAAGTATGTAGAACAAAAATATAAGCAATTTAAGATTTTTTACTTTGTTTTATATTTTATACTTTATATTATTAATTACAAATTTTAAAAGATAAATTATGGATACCTGTACAGAGAGTACCAGTACCAGTACTAAAGAGAGGAGCAAACTAAGTACTTGGTGTGAGGAAAGTACACGTTTATTATTAGATAAATATGAGCAATATTTACCTGTAGTTGGGCCAATGAAACAATTTAAATGTAAAAAATCAATGTGGATACAAATATCAAATGATATCGCAACAGAATTAAATATTGTACAAAGCAGTGTGCAATGTGAAAATCGTTATAAAACTATTTTAAAACGTAAAATGCAATCTGTTAGAGGCAATCAACAATCAGGTGCAAAACGAACAAAAGTGGAATTCGAAGATGAATTAAACAAGATAAAGGCTATTTATTGATGATAGTGTAGAACCTGAGATATTGCAAAGTTCAGGAAAACTCATTGAAAAACATAAAAAAATAATGAATAAAGAAAATACAATGAATTGTAGAGTCGAGAAGACAACAAAAAAAAGTCTATAAGTGAAAACAAAGTTACAAGTATTTCACTTTTGTTCGTTTTGCATGCATTCCTGATTGTTGAAAGTTTAAGTAGTTACAAGTCGTTTCTTCTCTATAGTTTAAGTAGTTACAAGTCGTTTATTGCACATTCAAAATGATAAAGAGGAAAAAAAAGAAAAGAGACATAAAGAAAAACTAGAAATACTACGTAACTTTATGACAATCTTTTCAAAAAGCAATGATACGATTGATTCAGATGGTGAATAGAAACAGAGTGTACTTTTCTTACTTGACTTTGAAATGCTTTAATTATGTCTAAAAATTTAAGTAGATACAAATTCTAAAACTTTTATTATAGTTTAAAATACTCCACTTTTGTTTGTTTCTTCTCCAAAGTTACAAGTATTGTTTTGTTTGTTTTGCATGCATTCCTGATTGTTGAAAGTTTAAGTAGTTACAAGTCGTAGTTTAAATAACACAAAAGACTTATTATATGTTACTTAAATCACATTATGTGATATAAAGAGTGCTTATATATATATATGCAATTGTTATATAATGTAAAAAATAATTTATGTAATGGCTGCTTTCAGTTTTGTTTCTTTGCATTATATATAATATATTATAGTTTCTGTTATAAAATAGTTACAATATTAAATAATTTTATGTTAATTTAGAAAACATGATTTCAGTTTAAAATTATTTCAAGTTTACTTGTTTAAAGTGCATTAATATAAAAGAAATTATAATTTTTAAAAGATCTTCTTTACAACAATTTTTTTTAACTAAAACAATGTTTATAAGTGCGATATGTGCATTATATAAAAAGCTTATCTATATTTGAAAGTAACAAAAACAGCAACTTTCACCTTTTATCTTCTTCTGAAGCTTACATATTATGCTATCTTCAAACATTGTGCTTACTAGTCAAATATTTATTAGATGATTGTGTTTTATTTGATTCAAATAATATTATCATGTAAATACAAATTATCTCGCTATAATTACACTATTTGTATTAGATTTGTATTTGTATTTATTAGAAAATATTTGTCGAGGAAACACATTGTTTAAAGCCGCATTTAAATAATGGAAATGCATATTTATAATACATCATATGTTTGTAGTTGTAGAGCACTGTTGTTGTTTAAAAAAGTTTTCTTTAAAATGTTAATTTAAATATTTTTAATTTTAAGTTTATATAATTATAAGTAAAATAACTTTTCTGTTTCGTACAAAGTTTGATTTATGCATACATTTATATTATAATAAATTAATTTGTGTTACATATTAAAAGCTAATAAATTACAAATAATGTCTCTTTTTATCTCACCCTCTATTCTATCGTTCATATTCTGCTCATTATTGATATGTGTTTCATTATATTCTTCATTCTCAACATCTAAATCTAATAAGTAATCGTTATTCATAATACATATATTATGTAACACACAACAGGAAATAATAAAATTAGCAGAACGTTTAACTGTAATAAAATCTAATTGTATTAATTGCCTAAATCTTTGTTTTAGTAATCCAAACGCATTCTCTATTTTAACTCTTTTTGTAGACGATTTGTAATTATAATTTCGTTGAGCAGCTGTAAGATTACCATAATCTCTATATGGTGTTAATAAATATTTTCTTAAAGGATATGCTGCATCGCCTAATAAGTGATAATCTTCTGATATAGTTTTTATTTCATCGCTTAAAAATGATAATCTAAATATTCTTGCATCATGTATTTTACTGGGAGGACGTAAAAACATCTAAAAATAATTTATTGGCATCACAAACTCCTTGTAATGTCAGAGATGGATAATCATGTCTATTAACATAAGTGCTTTTGATTTTATGAGCAGGAGTTCTAATTTTAATATATGTTCCATCGATACATCCAATAACTCCAGGAAATCCACTTATCTAAAATAAAATAGTTTTGTGTTCGAAAGATATTTTAAATAAAATAAATTTTACATATAAATAATATATTTTTAATTATTAATTTAAAAATAATAATATAATAATTAATAATAATTAATTATATCTAGCATCATAATAATAATTACTAGTTTATTAATTATTATATATCTATTTTTTTAATATTAAATAATATTTAATATTAAATAATAATATTAAATTATAATTTAATATTAAATAATATTTATTACTTCTTGAAACTCGTCCGCAACCTCTCTTCTTCCATCATCTGTATCAGACATTTTTATTATATTTGGAGCAATATGTTGCAAAAATTCCATTACATTTGTTATGATGGTATGAAACGTAGATTCTGCTACATTAAATCTAGATGCAACATCTCGTATCACTGATTTATTTCCTGCAAACCTGCAAATATAATATTAACATTATTATGTACTTATCTATGCATGAATTACATAAGCATATAATAAGAAATATACATATATATATATATAATATACCATAAAAATGATAATAACTGTGTATCACTGTTTATAATATTGCGTCCACCATGCCCTTGCATTGCATGAAAAATCTCGGAATTTACATACATATCATGTAATTTATCAAATGTACTTTGTTTTAAACAAAAATGTCGCTAAAACTAAAAATAAAAGAGATACTTTAAAATAAATGTTTAAAATATAAATTAAAATTATTATATGTGATAATACCTCTGCATCAGAATATTCATTTATGATATTTATCATATTCCGAACTTTCGGAATTTGTGTTTCATGTCGCATTAATATTGCCATCGTTTCTTCATCGCTAGAACTGCTCGAACTATTTAACATTTCTAATAATAATATTTTAGCTGCCATATTTTTTCATTGAAATACTCCAAACTCCAATTTGCACTGAACTGCACTGATGAAAATCTCGGTGCAATTCAGTGCCTTCTCCACTAGTGCAATGTGTTTTAATCAAATGTATAAATAACACTGAACTGGGGTAATGCAGTTCAGTCGAATACGTTTTCACTAGCACATGTTTCTAGTGAACTATCAACCGAATACACTAAGATTCTGAACCAGTGAAGGGCAAGCCAACCGAACACAAAATACTGAAAGAATGCGCACTCAGTGCGCACTAGTGCGCACTGGTGCATCCAATCGAAATCGCCATAAGTCTTCTCCAACATAGAGCTAGAATAGCCGATAATTTTGCGCGTAATAATATTGAGCTCGGATATAAGCTTTGTTCGTGCGAGTGTGATGTGGAGCGTGCGAAACGACATGCACGCTCCATCTCTAAGATCACGGCGTAACTCGGAACAGCTATTGATAGCGATCATATTGATTTCCGCATAGATCGATATCTGACTAGCGGTGTCGTCCCGTCACTTCCGCAGTGACGAGGAAGAAGAAGGACTTTCTGGAGTAATCCTTTCGAGACGACACACGTGTGCTGTGTCGTTCTCAGTGTCGTATCAAACAATAAGTTGTTCAAGTCATCGTATATTATTTTTGCTGTCTATTGTAACAAATTAGTTATTTGCATTTGTGTTTTGTGCGGAATAAAAAGACCATTGACCGTTACAAAGCACGAGAGATTTATTTCCCCGCCTCGCCTATTGTTGCCGCGCATTCCGACACCTTTCTCCCGACCACGTGCGCCGGAATTACCGCGCTCTCTCTTTAGTTTTTTTTTATATCGAGCTCGCGAACATGGTCCTTCGAGCCGGATTAGTGCGTGAATCGGTGAATTAAAGTGCATAAACTATCGAGTGCACGAGCGACGAATCAAGTTATCGCCCTTATATATGCACATTCGTGCCGTAATACGCGACAGACTGCCACGTGGCACTTCTCCACGTGTCTGTGAAATCGCGAGCAGAAGCGATTAATCTCGATTCAGCAGACAGTGACTTGAACAATGACATTTAGTGACACGAACGGAGTAACAATTTGATTCTATTTCGTGCGACGTTTCGAATCTATCGCTCATGCGATTCGTTCGTTGTTTGTTGTGACAATTTATCGGAGTGATAATTTGACTCCATTTCGTGCGACGGTTCGAATCTATCGCTCATGCGATTCGTTCGTTGTTCGTTGTGACAATTTATCGAAGTGATAATTTGACTCCATTTCGTGCGACGGTTCGAATCTATCGCTTATGCGATTCGTTCACTGTTTTTTGTGACGATTTATCGGAGTAATAATTTGACTCTATTTCGTGTGACGGTTCGAATCTATCGCTTTCGGGATTCGTTCATCGTTCTTGTGATAATTATCGGAGTGATAAGTGACTCCAGTCATTACGATTGTTCAAGTCTGTTGATTATTAGACTCGCTAGTCACTCTCTTGTGATAATCTGTCACGTCGTAAATAATTATTTGAAGAATTAATTTACTTTTTTTTCTTTCGGTCGTGAAGTGATAGACTGTGACGTCATCATGTCTGGCGATACGCTCAAAGTACCGACGGACCAAGTGAGAACTCGTACTCGTTCTCAGGGCAGCATTGTCGCATTGCTCGTCGTACAAAGAGAATATTTACGATCTATTCATCGTACGTGCAATTCGGCTGTGAGACTCACTGACACGTCCGCCTCCATTACAGTCTCGACGAAACTCCAAACGTTAACGCATCTATGGGACAAATGTCGATGCAATCACGAGGAGTTAACGGAATATTCGGTTGATCCGGACGTCAGTGATTATCTCCAAGGTACCGAATTTGGCGACATGGAAGACCGAGTTCTTGATGCGACGGACGCACTCACCGCTTTGCAGAGCAACCTGCCTTCGACATCGTCCACTAGGAGGGACGTTGCCAACACTTCTTCGCCTTCGAGGTTTACCAGTCTCGAGCGCATCCCTCTGCCGACTTTCAACGGAGATCAGAAGGACTGGGCCCATTTTCGAGACATGTTTAACTCGATGGTCATTCGTGAGTCTGGACTGTCTAACGTATAGAAGTTTTACTATCTTAAAAGTTGTTTGACCGGTACGGCATTGTCGTTGATTAAAAATTTGCCGATTACCGAAGCAAATTTTGAATCAGCTTGGAAAATAATTAATGATCACTATCAAGATATTCAAGTTTTTACTTTTTCTCTTATCGTTCGGCTATTAAAACTTAGGCCAGTGAGCGGCGATAATTCTGCCGCATTAGAGACTCTAGTTAATCAAACACGCAAAATACTCGTTTCTCTCGAAAACTTGAAGCAATTATCGTGGGATTCTATATTAGTTGTTATGACGCTTATGCGTCTGGACCCGACGATTCGAAAGAGTTGGGAAGAGAACATCGGTAAAAGAGAAACATTTCCAAATTATGACGAACTTGAGCAATTTCTGAACGGTAAAATACACGCTTTAAATGTTGCTTCGATTAAAAGCGGAGTCACATGCTTTAACGACAATGCCGGAACGAAAAACGCGAAACATAAAAATGGTGTTGACTCTAAGGTCACTTCGCACGTTGCAAACACCAACATTTCTGTTTGTCATTTGTGTTCGGCGGCTCATAACATATCGAAGTGCGCGAAGTTCAAGGTTTTGTCTGCGAGCGAACGTTAAGATTCCGTCCAAGCAGTACATTTATGCTTTAATTGTCTCTCTAAAGGACATTTTCCGCCGAACTGTA